AAAACCTGGAAGCCCTGGACGGCCGTCTCGTTTTAACGTGGGACTCCTCAGCAGTGCGCACCCACGATCCCGCACCCCGCGAAGTTCGGACCCAGGACCTATCAGTCTCGAGCCAAGCGCTTAACAAACTAGACCACTGAGCCGGTATCCAATGGTGTTAATGTCTAACTTCAATCAATCCACGAAGTTGCGCTACCGTATACCATTGTCTTCAGTGAGCAGATATCTCAGTCGGAGGGGTGGTGAGTGTATGACATGGTGATTGTCAGACCTTAACAATTCCCTGGTTGGGGTTCTAGAAGACAGTGAAACACATTGGCTAGAGACGTTATCAGACACAGCTTAGTATAGAAGTGGTGATCCTGCTCTAAATTTCGTTTACTTCATATAATGAGTCAACAAGGCAAATATTGTTTTATAATGAACATAAAATTGTGATTGGTGAATAAACAAGACATAGTCATACAAGGTATGTAGTGGCATTGGACAATAGCCACACAATCCACAAAGCTGTGAACACGAGACTACTCAGAAAATAGGTATTCAATATTTAACACGGAGAAATACCTAACGATGGAGAAGGTGCGAATAAGGAATTGAATGGACTGGAGTTGATCGAGTGGCATGACTCGGCCATGCAGGCGTGGTCTCTGCCGAATGTTACCTTATATCTTCTATTAATATTAAATATATTGTTCTTTCTCTAGCCTAACCTTGTTCTACATCATGTATTGGTAATTGATACGATACAGTGAGTTGGTGTAGTCGATGGTGTGACTTCCACGTAAGATCTTATAGATTAGGCAGTTATATCATGACAGATCTACAAATTTAGGATTAGGTCTATTATTAGAGCAGTACTAATATCATAATAGACCATAATTCTACAGGTCAAAGAAAGTTAATGTGGTGGTGGTGGTGGGCGTTTCACTTTATCATTAGTGAGTTCGTTTATCGATCACACCTTTTACAGAAGTTAACAGTGCATAATGATCAAAAGTTCCAGGTTCGAATTGATATTTAATTGGGTATCAACATTAATGATAAATATAGTGTTTAACCTAATTTTCAATTTTCACCAGCTGATAATATTGTAGTGTAAAACAGTTTCAAAATGGAATAGTTATTGAATTCATTGTATAATCTATAGTCATATGACTTAGAATCACATGAAATAAAAAGTCATATAAAACACATGGAATGCATAAACCCATCCTATTCTATTTAACTAATATGAATGTAAGAAACACTTGTATTGGAAAAGAAACTAAATAATTGAAATACATAGATGAAGTAGTAATTTACCTTGTTTGTATTAAATACTACAGTTACTGAAGTAGATAATTTCCTTTTTTTAAAGAAAATTTATATACTTCTTTTGATTAAAACATTACCACTGTATATTAACTAACATGTACGTTTTAGAATATATTGGTGTATGTGACCAAGTGACATGTGTCAAAATAATTGATTAAGAAAATAAAAACTATTTTACTCTTATTTTACTCAATTAAGAAAAAACGTCCAATTCAAATGATGTCGAAAGTAAACGATATAGTTGTCAGTTAAATAAATACCGTACCTTTAAATTGTTCATATACTGTTACAATATGTATACAATAAATACTAGTCCAAAATATCATTGTCTACGAGACTAACCATAACTAGTTCAGTGGTATTACTGCTTCGTTGAGTCATGGAATTTCCCACTTACTCAAATCTTTAATTATAGTAACCACAGGTCAGATAATAGGTTATAAGTATCCTTATTATTCTGATTCATTATTTACATGAATATAACAATAAAATACTAAATGGTTAAACAACTGATAATCAACAAATTAACTGAAGTTCACAATTAAAGCTATGTAAAAAAGGAAATAGCATGACCCATTTGGAAATACGGTTTAGAAATATACAAAATAATTCATCAAATAATAATAATAATAATAAAACTCCAACTTCTGCATTATCTTCTGTTCACTTCTTTCACACATCAAGGGTAACATATAATAGTCCCAAAAGAGCTGCGAAGTGTTAAAACACTTTAAAATAAATTAGTTTGAATAAAGAGAAAGGTCCTGTTCTTGATGAAGTTTTGTTCTTTGAGCTGGATAGTTTGGTCGTGGAGCTTTCATCGTTCTTCTAAACGACATCATCAGCACAAACTTGAGGTCCTCTTATTTATGCACAAACTTGTGTCTACAGATTTTTCTGGAACTGGTCAGAAAAAGCGGAGGGGTGGCGAGTATATGACATGGTGATTGTCAGACCTTAACAATTCCCTGGTTGAGGTCCTAGAAGATAGTGAAACACATTGGCTAGAGACGTTATCAGACACAGCTTAGTATAGAAGTAAGTGGTGATCCTGCTATAAATTTCGTTTACTTTCTTCATATAAGTGAGAGTAACTTCTGTAACCGAAATACTTCGTTCTGGTTGTATTTTTCTTAACTGAACTGCTTCTCCCATTATTATTATTATTACTACTTTTCACTCCCATACACTAATTCAGTTTTGTTCTATACCTTTTTTTCTATAGTCATCTTTCTTTTTCTATCTCTTCACAGTCTCATTTTTAGTGTGTGACGTATATTTATTTTGGTGTTCTTTTGCACTAATGTTTATGTGTTTAAATAAATAAATAAATAACACTGTGTACTGAGCATCCATGATCCCGCACTGTTGAGGAGTTTCACAATAGGACAAAACGACCATCCAATGCTTCCAAGTTTTCCATAGTGATCTAGCTTAAATCGACTTATGAATTTAACTATTAAAAAAAAAACAACTAATTATCTATAACCAATAGATGTAATTAATTAAGTCGACAATATGATTATTACTGTCTCTTCAGATATGACTTCATATGATAGGCGATTGGAAAAAAAAATCAATTTTGTATGGTAACTTGTACTTCAATCAATTAATTCTTTGCTCACTATATATCAACACTTATATGATCTATAATTCATATATTCTATGATACTGATTATTTAAAGAAATGAAAAGTGATTTCAGTATAAATTAAAAACAAAACAGAAAAATAGAAGTAAAATTACACTTTTTTATTGTTTACTTATACATAATAGTTTAGAAAACTATTTTTTTTATATGAATAGAATTAATTGATTTTAGGTATATGTGTTCATTAACATATTAATTTAACTAATCTATGTGATATAATTAAACATGGTTTACTACTATCATACAAATTCAATATAAACACAAATATAATAAAGAGATTAATCAATTGAGAACTTAATTTAATAATTACACGTATTTGTGCAGTAGTAATACACATTATCACATCTATTTCAGGTATGAACTGATAACATATAGATAGATTATCAGAAAGGGTTTTGTAGAGATTTTAGTCATTTCAATAGTTGAAATCATGAGTCAATTGAAGTTAGACCATCATGGAAAATTTGGAAGCACTGAACTGCCGTTTCGTTCTAGTATATTACTCCTCAGTAGTGCGCACTCACGATCCTGCCCTCCGAGAGATTCGAACCCAGGACCTATCAGTCTCGCGCGCGAGCGCTTAACCATTAGATCACTGAGCCGGTCGGTATCCAACGATGTTAATGTCTAACTTCAAGTAATCCACCGTACACCATTGTCTTCAGTGAGCTGATATCTAACAATAAACCTGGTTTAACCCCACTGGTAACGGCTTCTCACTAGAACTCTAGGAAATTCCTCTTGAAGTCAGTCACTAGTGAGCATATGTTGATTAGTATCGGAAGAGGTTGTTGAGGGGTTCCATACTAGGACGAAACGGCCGTCTGGTGCTTCCAGGTTTTTCATGGTGGTCTAACTTCAATTGACTCATGATTTCAACTAATGATAAAGACAGATGTCAAGAAGATTGATTATTCGTTCAAATAATATTCAAACTATTATATAATGAAACTGAACCCCTATTGGAAAAACTAGTGGCTATGTAAACTCGGTTAGTGATATATTAGGAGTTCGGAGTGAAAAGTACCAAGTCAGTGTCCAGGTGTGAAAATCAAGAATGAGATGTGGATGAACTCGATTGACAAGTTCAACAAAAGATTCCATTGATAGCCAATTTCCAACTTTCTTAAAAAATAATATTTAATATTTAGAATGTTGTGGTATATAAATGATATTTTAAGAGTTGTGGAAACATGATAACAGGAATGGTACTGAGTTTTTGTTTACATCGAAAGACAAGCAGAACGGCTTACACTAACTAATATTTTTAATATTCACAAAAAATTTCGGAAACTGTAATTTTCACCTGAACTACTAAAGGCTAGTTTAGCTGATAAACTTGTCACGTACAAAAGTGAAAGGCGGATGGATAATATTCATGGAATGATGACAAATTTAGAGAAAAAACGGAAGATCTTTAATCCTGATTCATAGCACTGCTGTCTATCAGACAGCACAACATACATCAGTCTGAAAAGTAAACGAGTATTCCACATCCAGTCCAAAATTTGAAAAATGAAATAATTTAATTACAGGTGATCACAACTGATTTCCTATTAACAAACAAACCAACCGAATACAAGCAAAATAGACCGCAATCTGAAATGGCTTTGCTTAAATGACATGTAGGAAGTTGATAAATTCTACGGCATTCCTAGACTTAAAAACCAGAGTATAATCTTAGTGACGAGTAAGATATCCACTTTAATTGAAAAATGATATGCTGGGGAGTCCCGGAAAGCTTACAAATCACAGTGAGGTCAAATAGTGTGTGAGTACAAATATACACGCATACATTATGTAAATACTTGCTAGGCCCTTGATAATAAAGCTTCTTACACACTTTCAGTCTTTACATTTTGAATATCTGTTTGAGCACGTGTTATGAAGTGTGCATAGTGACTGAACTGAATAGTAAAACGTAGTGAAAATACTTAACAGAATACGTAACAATCCATAAAATTCCCAAAAAAATAGTTATCAAAGTGAAGGAAAAAAATTTACTAAGTGTGAATTAACAGACAAGTACTTACTTCAATAGCATATCACATTTTGAACAACAAAAACAACGCTTGTGCCAGATATTCCCACCGGCTTCCATCCTTTCGGCAGCGTAAACCGATTTGTCACAACGTACACACTTTTCTACTTTTGCCTAAATAAAAATATTGTTAGTGACTTAATTATTGGGAAGCAACTTATTGTTATTTTAAATATTAATATTATCCATACAACAATAAAGTGTATTCGCCATAATCTTCATGTATCCTGTAGATCAATCATGGTTTATGAAATCTTTTAACGTATACTGATCATTGTAAACTATGAAGTCATCTAAAAGTGTAGCGCCATTTATTTTAAATTCATATCGTGTGCAATCAACGTCTTGCAGGATGCCGTAAGCTTACATCCTTGTCCGTAGCTTTTGTAAATATTTATGTCCTGTTTATAACTTCTGAAGTTGGCAACGCCAAATTTCACCAATATTAGTACAGTTAGTCAGTAAGAACAAAATTATGGGGCGTTAGTGAAATATCACATAAGGGGACAGTTTTTACCTATCGATGCAAGGAGAAAACGTAAAACCATATTACAGCGACGACATTTAGATGTATTATAAATGACTTTTAGTTTTAAACCACTACATACGGGATAAACAGTCAATCTAGGCACCCAGGCAGTATCACAGCCCATTCACAAACCAAGTGACTTGTGTAGCGCATATGTAGCCGGTGCCCCTTTGTACCAATATTTGTGTTCAAATAAATAAATAATATCAGAAGAGGTTTCTGCGGATATTATAGTAATTTCAGTAGTTGAGATCATGAGTGGTCTAGCTTCAATTGACTCATGATCTCAACTATTGAAATAAATAATAGTCAGTAATAATGAAAGAATATTTCACAACAGCAATAATCAAACCTAAATAATACAGATTTTATAAGTTATACGTGATATAAACTCATTTATTTGGGCATGGAGTTTTCTTTCTGAATCAATTCTAAGGTTATAAAGGTCTTATAAACAACTCTTAATTTCCTTCACAATCTTATCTTTGCTACAAATCCGTCGAAAATTTGTTAAAATCGAGTTGGGACAACGATATTATATTCTAACCCATAAACGTCGTGATCGATTTCAGTATCTATACGCTAGCGGAGCACCTATTACTTGGTGAATCGATAACAAAATGAATTGTTTGCGAGTTTAATCTCCACAAAGGGATAAACTGCAATTGTAACAATGTTTTGGAAGCAAGGTGCATCAGACAATAGACGATTATTTTGATTTTACTTTTACACCAAGTCGTCCTCATTTAACAGTGATAAAAACGGATCCTTGTTGTTAAATAAACATTGAATACCATGCAGAGGTATTTCCCGCAAAGTTATTTACATAATAGATAACTTCCCAAACTTCGCACAAAAAGTAAAATGCGTTTCTTTGGTTTGGATTTGTTATATCCAAACGAAGAGTAAATGAATGGTAACCGCTAGGAATTATTTATGGAGTATTCCTATTGGGTAACTATTAAGTAACTATATTATATGTATATTCACATTCCTTTTATTATAAGCTTCCATTTGACCTATTGACCACTATATTATACGATTTACCATTCTTGCCATTAGAAGCATATTAGTTACTTTTTCACACTCAGCCACTTTCGGTTCGATCTCACATAATTCCTATCTTCTATTTTATAGTAAGATACGGTCTGATTTGCTTGCATAAAAACTGCGTACGTGTGACATAAATGATTCATACAGTGGAAGCTGAGATTGTGTTCTGGACTCAAATGAATAGAGTTAGGCGAGAAGGACCAATAAGCACTCAGAGTTAACCCTAGGCTGCTCGTACTAGTTAACGCGTTATTGGTTTGGAACAATGTCAAGGTCGTATAGGCTAGTGTTCTGATTGGCGATCTTGTCATGTGATATTTGACGGGGCTTTGAAATAAAGACGGAATTAACTTAAACTGGAATCCAGACACTCAGTTGAAAGGATTGGTAACAAATGCCCTAACCTATCCACACCCATTGCGATATCCGCAAGCAGAACGCTATCTCACCAAAATATTTTGTCACACCCTGAAATTGACGAATTGAAACCTAGACAAATGAATATTAATTATGACTAACCACTAGGCTATTCTAGTCATTTAAGTTATCTTGACCCAACAAAAAATGTAGTTGTCCAACTAATGAAATAATATTCTGCATGACAGTGTCCTAATTCCTATATGTACTTTCTTTTAGCCCAAGACTAATCGACCATTTTTGACCTTAACACAATAAATTAGTGTTGTATTCCTGATTTGATTGGAAGAAAGGTTATCAAGGTCATTTTTTATATCAATGTGATAGACAAAGATCCGATCGATCGAAGCGCAATGTCACAATTGCCTCTATTGTGTCAAAACAATTCTGGATTAATTCACATGTATTGGGGAATTGACGGGAAAAGGCTGAGTTACGAAAGAGAGGAATCATGTGATGACAGGATTAAAGTTTGTACTTATAAACAACTGTTATAAATCTAATTTTCATCTAAGAAAAATTCATATAAGCGTGTAGGAAATGGCATAAATGAACAAGCTGAATAGGGGTGGCTAGTATTCTATGAAAAGAATGTATTATACAATTGATTCACATCTTAATTTTTAGGGTTGAAAATCTTTCAGTTATTTTGATACTGTGATTTTTTGATCCTAAACAATGCATGCAAGTAGCCGTACCGTTTTTAAACTACGGCAGCTTTCAAAATAAATAAACGCAGTAAACGAGGGAAAATAGAAGTTCAAAATTGTCTTCATCTCGATAAACTATTTATCATAACCCCGAGCAAACAACATTGTAGATATGTCTACTTCTCCTCAATGATGGTGGCTGTTTTGAAGAAATGTTAAATTCTGCCAGACAGAGGCCTTAATCTCCCAAAAGTTAGATGCTCCGGGAACTGACATAATTCAATTACTGGAAACTGGGAAGGACTCAGCAACTGCTCGGTTCTATTATGAGGCAATATACTAACAATAATTCCATGTGAACAGGGATCCTTATTTCGATCATGAAAGGGAGTAACTGAACAGTACATTCTAACCCTACATATATACACCACTGCTATGTAGCAAACTCAAGGACAACAATTTGGACCTGGATAATTGAATAACATCTAGTCAAAATCCTCAAAATTTGTCACATCAGGTATCAACAAATGAATAGGCGAGACTATAATTTATGAACGAACCAGTTAGATTTAGGATAACAAGTCTTGGATTTTGGCACGAAATTCACTCACCCATTCGTCCAAACGGCGTCTTGGCATTTTATTTGATGTCAGTTCGTGATGAAAACCATAAATCTAAATCCTAATCCTTACCATCAAGTGTAAATCATTATTTTTATTCCTCAAACTGCTTTATAACCTTCATTTAGCCCTAATAATTAGGTAGACACTCTCAAGGTCACTTTTGTGTCACTCAAAGGTCGTCCATAAGTAATAGTCTCACCAATGAATAAAATGAAACGTCTCCTGAGAATTTCCTTAAAATATGCGACCTTATTGTAGCTTTTGTTTTAGGTAGAAACAGATTTGCTAGTACATTGAAATAAGAAAAATCATTATGTACCAAAGACGAATAATTTAAATATATATACAGGTAGAAACTTACTGGGGTGAAAGGCATAGTTCTCAGATCAGCACGAAAACTCAGCGAAGAGCACGTTTAAATTCTCAATTTCTTCTAGTATCTTGGTTTATATAATTACGGAGGCGGATGGTTTGCCTTCTGATTGGTCAAACCAAGGTCAACCAAATTGTTAGTGTACATCTTGACTGGTCCAGTTGTATGGCAGAGAATTTTAAGTGGACAAACTTTCTTATCAAAGGGCCACAGGAATGTAGACAGTACATTAGATGGCATAATATAAGATTATTCAAACTGTAAAGGTAAAATTTTGGAAAAATAATTATTTGTTTATTTGTTGTATGAATTGATTCAACCGATAGCTTTTAGATAGATTTGCCTCTCAAATATTGAGAGGATCCACCCATGATTAATGCTTAAAATGGAATAAGAAAATAGTAATTAAAATTATGTTGCATAACATCTAACTTGGACAGTAATTTACCCATACATAAGAGGTAGAATTCACAAGTCTTAATGTTGAGATATAAATGCATAAAATAACCGATGATTTTCATACCATAGAGATTAACTGATGGCAAAATGTTCGAAATTATGTGTTTAACACTTACCAAAATGAAAATAACATATTTTAGTAAGAATATGATATGTTACGCACAGAATACAAGATTTGAACATTTGATTCTATATATATTTTTTCTAGAAAGTTAATCAAGTCTTGAATTCAAAGCTGTGGTGGGTAAACATTTCTTTATACATGGCCACATGAACATCAGGTAAGCCGTATATATAAAATATCAACATGTTTTTAATTAAGATACTGTGATAGATCATGTTTTAATGAAAATAATTTTACTTACGCAAACACCATCGTCAACAACGTCACTATCACAATAATATGAGTGCAACTGGAAACAGTTTCTCACGAGTTTGTCTTAATTAAAATTTATTTTACTTGTTGTAATTCTGACTCCGGACCCAAAAATATTGAGTTGTCGAAGTTATTATATGAAGCGCTTGTTGACAAATGTAATTTACCCTCCCCCTCAAATCGGACATTACAAGTGCAAACTCATCCTTCGTCAATGATGGAGAAAATTCAGTGTTATCAGCGTGTTGATTTAATTGTTGCATCTGAAGTTCATGAATAGCTGGCGACACAACAAAAGAAAGTAGAGCAGTCAACAAATTAAATTGTTATCTGAACGTATCTTAATTATCAAAACGTCATGAAAGTAAATCTTCAACTCTGAAATTTGTTAACCTTATATCTAAGGGGATCCTCGAGACACTGTGTCCCTTGCTTAAAGCTGGGAACTGAACGTAGTTACATTCCTCACATTGCTTATACAACAGATTGAATTTTTTCAAATACTATACTCTTAAACTCTGATACAAAGTGACTTTCTGTCGTAATCCAGAATTATCTCACTTCTGGCTGCTTCCATGTTTATTTCTATGTGATCACTCGGGCTCTATGGAATTTGATTTGAAAGCTGTAGCTTTCCCATTTCTACGTTAGACGTACTCAGTAGTCCCTGATAAAATAATGTAAAATTGTATCATCTGTTTAGGCGTTTTATTTCAAAATTCGGAAACATATTTCTCAAAAATACACTTTGGACGTCACGAGGCCGATAACCCTTCTAATTAACAGGGTAACAATTATTATAGGTACACGAGATGTTCGAACAATGTGGGAGACCGGAAAGACCAGTCAAACAGCTACGGAAATGAGGATACAACTTGGCGGTTCTCAGATTCAGTGAAACTCATTGAACACAAACTGGACAGAAAATATTAGATTCGGGAGAGATGCTGTTGTACTTTGGTCATGAAAAAGAAAATGACTCATACACACAAGGAGTTGTGCTGATGCTGTACAAAGAAGCACGAAAAACACTTATAGGATGGGAATCTTATGGATCCAGAATCATCAAAGCATCCTTCATAACAAAGAACGAGGGAATTACAATGAATGTTATCCAGTGCTATGCCCACAAAAATGGTGTAAATGAAGACGGTAAATATCAGCTTTATGAGAGGCTTCAGTGAGTCATAGAGAAGTGCTCAGGAAACGACCTGTCGGAGACCTAAACGCCAAAGTATGATGATATCATGGGATGACATGAACTGTGAGAAAGGGACAAGTGACAATTTTGCAAATTTATGCGCATTAAAAATGGTTATAGGTGACACTGCATTGCCCCACAAACTTACATGGGTTTCACCGGATCACACTACAGGGAATCATATAGATCATATTTGCATCAATAAACAATTCAGAAGGTCAATGGAAGACGTGAGAATCAAGAGAACTGACATACCTTCAGACCACCACTTGGTTGTGGCCAAGATAAAAGTGAAGCTAAAGAACCACTAGACCACTGGAGTGACAGCATTACAAAGGTTCAGTATAGCCTTCCGCCGAGAGACTGACAAACTCGACGAATCCAAGACAGCTCTTAACAACAGGTTCCAAGTCCTGCAAGATTTACACAAAGATCGCTGAATATATAGAGATAAATGTAAACACGCTCCACGTCCTATTCAAAAATGTTTGGAAGAACATGTGCTAATAGACTGAAAAGAAATATACCTCACCAGAATATTAAAAAAGACCTCAGCAATTGTGAGAACTACAGAGACGTCATATTACTACAAGAATCGGGAATAGCTTTCAGCAGAGTATTGTTGAACTGGATGAAAGATCAACAGACCGTATTACGTAAGGATGCAAGAAGAAAAGCGACATCCACAAATACAACACGGGAAACACCAACCCAATCACACTTGATGGAGAACCTCTGGAACAGATGGAAACTTTCACTTACTTGGGTAGCATCATCGATGAACGGGGAGGATCTGATGCAGACATAGATGCAAAGATTGGCAAAACAAAGACAGCATTCCTACGGTTGAAAAACATGGAACTCGAAAAAATTGTCAACCAGTATCGAAGTCAGAATTTTCAATACAGTCCTATTGTACAGAGTTGATACGTAGAGAACAATTAAAACCATGATTAAAAAAGCAGGCATTTCTAAACACTTGTCTATGTAAGATACTCAATGTCCGTTTGTCCAATACCATCAGTAACAGCCTACTATCAAAGAGAACAAACCAGCTTTCAGCTGAAGAGGAAATTAGGAAAAGACGCTTCAGGTGGATAGGACATACGTTGCGGAAACCATCAGACTGCATCACGAGACAAGTCCTAACTTGAATCCCTAGTGGGAACGGAAATGAAGAAGACCAAAGAACACACTGAGCCGACAATTGGAGAAAGATAACTAAAAGATCAACAGCAACTGGAAAGGATCATCAGGAACAGAGTTCGATGGAGAATGCTGATGGGTGGCCTATGCTCCTCCACAAGGGATAACAAGCGTAAGTAAATAACCAAAGAATTTATAACTTAAATATGATTGTATTCGTACTGAGTAACCATTTTGTGCTTGCTGAATATGATGTCTTTTTATTAGTTTACCTAATTTTTGTATGTATGTATTGTAATTTTAGAACCACTGTTTTGTATTAGATTGCCAGACATATCATCCTTTTATAGTTAATATGTCCCTCTATTGTTACAATTAACTGAAAGTGATTCAAAATCATATATATTCTTTTTTATTTAATGTGTACGATAATTCGTCGCTGTCAGTTCCTAAAAATATTCGAGATAAAAATGAGGTCCGGTCACAAATATTCAGTCTTTTGTATTCAGACGGAAAATAGCTCTTTATCTTGTTGCGTTAGTTCATTTCGTTTTATTCACTGTCTCTTAATCCGCCCTTGTGGGAATCTCCGGATCATCATGAATCGCTCGCATTCGAAAAATTTTCTTAATAGCCACTGCTATAATTCAAGGTTGGCAACTCCGTTTGACTGCATTTATATAACCTTTGGAATATATATGTAACCAAATAATTGAGACTATAGAGGAAATATGTAGATTAAAAAACACTACACTTCAAGGAACATATTTAGCCCTAGAACGTACTACGTCCACGATTTTTTTTGGAATAAGTATCAAACTATTATGTCTGTGTTCGGAATTCCAGAGAGTATCTTTTGGTGACCTGGATATTAGCGAACGTATTGAACAGTGCTAATGTATTGATTGTATTTTTTTACATTTCATACGATGTGTTGGACCACGTATACAATATCGATAAAATTAGACCGAGAGAGCTAAAGACAGTTCACACTTGATACGTTCACATTGAGTTTCAGGCGGATTTTAGTCATCAAATGATGCTTGTGTAGTCAATGAGAGGACACTTTTTCAAAAATTAGTTTAACATTTTAGATTTAAGTCCAAGGACATTACGATTTTCAATTTTTATTATGCGTGACAATATTCTCGATAAACCACACTACAGTTTCCCAACATCTCTGTACTCATACATGCATTGTTCGTCTACATTAAACTACCACAAATTATTTTTAGAAACTCATTACTTAATAACCAACCTAGACAATTCATTATGAGGTAAATACATTCCTTATCAATAAGTGATAATAACCCACTTAAGTTCTACCAGATATTCCATTTTAAGTAGATCATTTTGTAAAAGATACTTCTCAAATTGTTAGGAGCGTTTGGGGATGCAAAGTGCAAATGTAAGAGATTCACAGAAACTCCAAAGTTGAAGGTCAAACAGAACGAAATTCATTTCAAATGCTACTAAAAACTACGCAGGCGCGTTTCAAAGACCGTATAGTATGTTTTAATGGACAGTCTTTCCCCTAACCGTCAAGGTCGTTCGGTGAGCTCTTCATTCCAAAGACTGAAGAAATCAGCGATGCTCTTGTTCCTTTTACGTGTAAACTGATGCATATTCCTCATCACAGAACAAATATCGGTACATTACACTTTTTTTACACTGAAAGTGATGATACTAAGTAATCGTATAAAAAATATGAGTCATTCCGGTCCCATTGGTTACTTAGTACTTATTCATACGACTGGTTTTTTGAATCACTAGTGTCACTGAATTGCTGTTCCTACCAATATCCTGTTGTTTGTAAATTCTTCTAGTAACCTGCTTGTACGTCTTTTGCTTTCTGTATTTCTGCAAGAAAATCCTACACTAACATGTTACATCAATTCTTTTACTAAGAATCTGTTAAGAAAGTTCATACTGTTTTTCCCATTGCCGTAAAGTATCATAAAAATATTTTGCACCCTGGTATTTCTTGATTCATGATAATCCCTGCATGTTATCTTACCAAAATCCCGTAGAAAACTAACTCGCTAAAAAAACCCTAACCAAAAGAAATAACTCAAACCAATTTAACTCTGACCTGAGAGTTAAGTTTTCATTTAGAAGAGTTGTGAGGTCTCATGATGAAAGCCGAGTTCCTTTGGAAGTCACGAGGCTGATGCCCCTTCCGACAACTAGGTCAACCATTAGTTTAGGTACATAGAACGTTCGTACGATGTGGGAGACGGGGAGAGTCATCAAAGTTGCTGCAGAAATGAAAAGATACAACCTGGATGTATTTGGAATCGGTGAAACACATTGGACGCAGGTTGGACAACAAAAACTAGCTTCAGGGCAGCTGCTGTTATACTCTAGCCATGAAGAAAATGCCCCATATACATAAGGAGTTGCATTGATGCTGTCCAAACAAGCACAAAATGCACTTATAGGATGGGAATCTCATGGACCAAGGATCATCAAAGCCTCCTTCAAAACAAATAAAGAGGGTATCACAATGAACGTAATCCAATGCTATGCGCCTAGCAAAATCTAAAATGAAAACGTTGATGATCAATTCTACGATAGGCTGCGATCAATCGTTGATAAATACCCAACAAAGTATTTGACCATTGTAATGGGAGGCCTAAATGCTAATGTTGGAACGGGCAACACGGATATGAACGCATCATGAGACGATATGGACTAGGGAGAATGGAACGAAGATGGTGAGAGATTTGAAAACCTACGTGCCTTCAATAAACTGGTCATAGATGGCACTATATTCCCACATAAACGCATACACAAAGCCACATGGATTTCTTCGGATCACACTACGCAAAACCAAACCGACCATATCTGCATCAATAACAAGTTCAGATGGAGGACGTGAAAATCGAGAGAGGAGTTGATGTAGCCTCAGATCATCACTTGCTGGTCGTCAAGATGAAATTGAAACTCAAGAAGCACCGGACAGTGGGGCGGACAACACCACAAAATTTTAATATGGCCTTTATTCGGGATACTGACAGACTCAACGAACTCAAGATAGCCGTCAGTAATAGGTTCCAGGCCTTTCATAATCTATTCATTGAAGAGGGAACTACTGTGGAGAACATTTGGAAAGGGATCAGGGAGGCAGTCACTTCAACATGTCATGAGGTTCCGAGCCACAAGAAGCACTATCGTAAGGAACGCATCACTGTTGATACACTGGATAAGTTCCAAGAAATGAGGAACAAGAAGTCAGCAATCGATACCAACCGAACACGAGCGGAAAAAGTCGTCGTAAGCTGAATAAACAGAAGCAAACAAGCAAGTGAAGATGAGCATCAGAGCTGAAAAGCGTAAATATGTGGGAGATCTAGCAATGACGGCGGAAAAGGCTGCAAGATAAGGAAACATGAGATAATTGTATGATACAACAAAGAAGCTCTCTGGAAATTATCGTAAACCAGAACGACCAGTGAAAAGCAAAAAAGGCAAAGTAATCACCAACATTTAATAACAGCGAAATAGGTGAGGAACTTGAATAAGAAAAAGAGAATTCAGCGAAGAAAATTTTCTTTTCGACGAAATCATTTACTTAAGCTGTACATTCGTATATATGCACTTTTATTATTATCCATATTTTTAAATTACTATTTCGCACTTTAAACTCTAATCATTTATTATTATTACCTTTTACAAGTTTTCTTGATTATCATTCAGTTTATTATTATGACCTTTGTTTTTTTGTCGTTTTTCTTCATATCTGTCAATTGGACTATTATCTGACCCTTAAATTTTGTTCTCCTTACGTTAACCTCATTTGTTATTTATTGTCGAATCCATTTTTGTGTGATACAATCCATTCTATCCTTCTATAGACATACATTTTCCATATCTAACTATATATACGAATGTACAGCTTAAGTAAATGATTTCGTCGAAAAGAAAATTTTCTTCGCTGAATTCTCTTCTTCTTATTCCATGACACTATGGGTTATTTTAATTAGGTGAGGAACTCTTGAATCCACCAGCCCCACTGAACCCACCTAACATCGAAGCAGCACCCACAGACGTCTCAACCACCACCAACAATTGAAGAGATCGGCATGGACACCAGACAAATCAAGAGCGGCAAAGCACCATGACCAGACAACATCCCAGCAGAGGCATTGAAAGCAGATGTAGCAGTAACTGCGAAGACATTCAACATTCTTTTCAGCAAGATTTGGGATGAAGAACGGATACAAGCAAATTGTAAGAGGGATACCTGATCAAGATACCAAAGAAAGGCGATCTCAGCAAGTGTGGGAACTACAGAGGCATCGCGCTTCTCTCAATACCAGGAAAAGTCTCCAACAGAGTGTTGTTAAATGAAGGACTCCGTCGACGCCCAACTTCGAGACCAACAGGCTGGATTCCGTAAGGATCGATCGTGAACCGATCAAATCGCAACACTACGGATTATTGTGGAACAATGTATTAAGTGGAATTCACCACTCTACATCAACATTGACTACGAGAAAGCATTTGATAGAATGAACAGGACAACACTATAGAGGCTTCTTCGACACTACGGCGTGCCTGAGAAGATAGTCAACATCACACGGAATTCTTATGATGGATTAGATTGCAAAATCGTACATGGAGGACATCTCACAGACTCGTTCGAAGTAAAGGCCGGTGTCAGGCAAGCTTGTTTACTCTCAACCTTTCTCTTTCTCCTGGTGATCGACTGAACTATGAAGACGTCAACATCTGAAGGGTAGCACGGGATACAGTGGACATCTAGGATGCAGCTGGACGATCTAGTTCTTCTAACGCACACGTAAAAAGAAATGCAGATGACCGGTGTAGCAGCAGTAGGTATCAACATACACAAACGGAAAAGTAAGATTCTCTGATACAACACAACATGCACCAATCGAATTACACTTGAAGGAGAAGCTTTGGAGGATGTAAAAGCTTTTACATATCTGGGCAGCATCACTGATGAACACGGTGGATCTGATGCAGATGTGAAGGCGCGGATCGGCAAAACAAGAGTAGCATATACACAATTGAAGAAAATCTGGAACTCAAAACAACTGTCAACCAACACCAAGATCAGAATTTCCAATACAAATGTCAAGACCGTCCTACTGTATGGGGCAGAAACTTGAAGAACTACGAAAGGCATCATCCAGGAGATACAAGTATTTACTAACAGCTGTTTATGCAAAGTACTTCGGATCTTTGACCAGACACTATCAGCAAAAACCTACTGTGGGAGAGAACAAGCCAGATTTCAGCGGAGGAAGAAACGCTGGAAGCAGATAGGACACACATTGAGGAAAGCACCCACCTCTGTTACAAGGCAAACCCTCACTCAGAATCCTCAAAGCCAAAGGAGAAGAGGAAGAACAAAGAGCACAACGCCGAGAAATGGAGACGGACCTGAGAATGAAAAACAATTGGATAGAACTAGAAGGGAAGGCTCAGGGCAGAGTGGGTTGGAGAATGCTGGTCGGCAGACTATGCTTGATTGGGGGTAACAGGCGTAAGATTACTTGGTTTTACTTCTATTAATCCAAGTAAATAGTTAGAGTGCTTGAAGTCAACAGTATTTATAAGATACAATGCATGTTTTAAGTATTCTAAAGAGCTTTTATTTGTTTTCTTTCACAGTTGTTAACAAAATACCATGTATTTAAAAATAAGCACCAACTACATAGCACTTCCTAAGTGTTTCGACAGTCTTAGCACAAATCAAAAGGTTGGGGAGTCCGTTTTACATTTCATTTAGTACATACAATACGGTCAAAATTGCACGTAGAAAAACCCATTGGCTGTATACTGGATTTTGAAAACCTGCTGGTATGTAACAAAAAATGTATTCGCTTTGTGGATTTGTCACTTTATTTCTTACTGTTTCCAGAAACTAAACTAAACAGTGAAATCAGGATGGGTCTTTGTGTTTGAAATGAATTGAATACTGTCATTACATGTTTGAGCTGCGAAAATCCAATCTGGTTTCGAAATGACATTCATCAAGCGAAAGAAAGCTAATCAGTAATGTATAATCAGTGGACTAAAGGAAATCTCAAGGCATAAAGTTGGTTATCAACGTAGCTGAAAATGTTGTTTAATTTGTCAGATTTCGACTACCAAGAGATGTGAAAAATCATGTCGTCCTGCGACCCCCAATTTTACTTTAGAGTAATCACCCGTTACTCACTGAGTAATTGAGTATCATCACCTTGATTAAATATTTTCTACATAAATATAATCACTCACATAATATGTCTTCATGTACTTATTCACTTGATAGGTGATTGTGTCCTCTAATAGCCATTCAGTTAGCAGTTAGGTCTCACTCAGTTCCGTGAGCAAAATTATCAGAGACCAATTAGTAGAATTCGCAATTCCACAATAAGAACTGATCTTAGTTATACAACCAGTAAAAACGTGCTTAATCTTTTGACTTCCCAACTGGTTAATCCTTAGCATTCGAATTTATTGCAAAAAAGATTGGTAAATTCAAAATATTTGGACACTGAGTATCAAAAAAATAGTTCAACGGATTTACAATCTCAAAACCAAAAGAACTTCAAATAATAATAGTCTGTGTATATAATATGTAGTTGTAAACCTGTCAGAATGTGCTACTTACAACTAATAACAGAAACATCCACTACAAATCTTCAGAATTATAGTCATCAATAGTCTAGAAACAAACGATCAAGGGCAAGAATAAGATCAGAAGTCTAAGATGTAACGATAAAATATCCGTATACAAAACTGAATGTAATTCAGTCAAAAAAGTTCTCACAAGGATTATTTGTTAGTACTTAACTGCTCCAGGCTTTTATTAAAAGATTCAATTTTTTAATTGTTAACTGGTTGGTCGAACTATATAATTGTGTATACTACTGTAGGTATAACACTGACACAACTTTACAATATATCACTACAAAAGTCACTTAATTCTCTCACAGAACAACACATCACCCTTGCTTTAAATTTATGTTGATCGATATCTCACTCAAGTAATTTCGATTTCTTTTAGCGTTTCTATGTGGTACAAAAGGGAAAGTATTCCAGAAAAAAAAACAATTAAAAACCAGACTGATCATCCTCATTATTTAACAATAAAATAAATGTTACTTAGACCAGTTCTTGAGCTCAGTGTAATTAAACAAGATCCACAACCCCATATTGACAATTATAATGTGAGCACTAGTGAATAGATTCGAGAGGAAATTTCTGGAGTTCTAGAGAGAAGCTGTGACGAGTCGAGTTCAGCAGTCTCGAAAGTGGGGAAGGTACCCGCTAAAGAAAACGGATGGTCGCGCAATACCGTAAATTGGCTGTGGTTAGACCTGTGCATCATTGGGTATCACTTTAGATGTTTAAAGATTAGGCGTTTAGAAAGACGACCGGTGGTTCTGGGCCGATTCCCGGGTTGAGGGATGTAGATAAGCACTCTTAAAGATTCCTAAACTAGGGTAAAACAGCCATTCGCCGCCCTCAGATCTTTAACGACTGTATTAGATCGACTCATGATCTTAGTGAATAATTGTGTTGGTTTAAACGCTTCGATTAATCCCATCTGACTGGTCTTAATCACTGATTGTGCCAGTCCATAAGATAGGACAAAAGTCCTGTAACAATCACAGAAGAATCAGTTTGACAAATATAGTATCTAAAATATTAGCTTCAATAATACTTCGACGCCTAACTAAAGCTCGTGAAGAACAGACTAGAGAAAATCAGGCTGGTTTTCGACCTGGACATGATTGTATAGACCAGATATTCACACTACGTCAGGTTCTAGAACACAGACACACATTCGGACGCCTCACAGTCGTAGTATTTCTCGACCTTAAAGAGGCATTTGACTCTAATGATCGTGAGGTTCTATGGTAGTGTTTGTCACTGAAAGGAGTACTAAGGACGTACATTAACCTTGTAAAGGCTCTCTACTCGAGCACCTTTGGTCGAGTGAGAGTTTATGGCGAACTGTTATCAGAATTGATTGCCTCAAGTGGTGTTCGTCAGGGCTGTCCATTCTTGTTTAACTTTTTCATTGAGGTGCTTTTAGAGATGACACTTTCCTTATCTAAATTTCTAGGGGTTGGACTTATACCGGGTAATTCACTTATTGATCTAGAATATGCCGATGACATAGTTCTATTTGGTGAAGACGCCGACAAAATACACAGTCTTCTGACCACTATACGAAACAATACAAGCATGTTCGGCATGCGATTCTCTCCCCCGAAATGCAAAATGTTGCTTCAGGATTGGGTTGCATTGACACCCGAACTAATGCTAGGAAGTGAAGTAACTGAGCGTGTCGATCGCTTCATTTATCTTGGAAGTCTCATCAGCCCTTGTGATCTGGTGTGTGACGAAATCTCAGCACGGATACAGAAGGCTCGACTAGCTCTTACCAACTTGCGTCATCCATGGCGTAGGCGAGATATCCGTCTGTCAACCAAAGGACGGGTTTACTGCGCAGCAGTTCGTTCCGTCCTACTTTATGGCAGTGAAACATGGCCGGTAAGAGTAGAGGATGTTCGTAGGTTACTAGTATTTGATCATAGGTGTCTTCGAAATATTGCTCGTCTATCCTGGGACCATCGAGTAAGTAATGCAGTTTTTAGGAAACAGGTACTAGGTAAGGATGGCAAATCAATTGATGAAGTAGTGAAACTTCATCAGTTGAAATGGTTGGGACACATGTTACGTATGTCGAACCACCGACTGCCCCGACTTGCGATGTTTTATGGTGTAGGAGTAGGTTGGAAGAAAACTAGGGGCGGCCAATCCAAACCGTGGCAAAAATCCATGAAATCACTGACAAGTGGACTGAGTCATGTCGGTAGGTGTAGACTATCTGGTTGGGATCTGTGAGTCGATGGCAACCGATGGTTAGAGACCTTGAATGACATGGCTCAAAATCGTTTGCAATGGTGCAGGTGCATACACTCTCTGTGTTCTCCCAAATTTTGATCTCATTATTCCTCCTTGTCTCTTTTTTTTCTTTCCCCAAATTTATTTCACTGTATTATACTCTTTAAGTAACATCTCCAAACACTAATTTTCCCGATTACTGCTTATACTCTTATTACCTCTACCACTACGGGATTTGAATCGACCACTGCATCTCTGTGCTAATGTGGTGTGGCAACTCGAACTGATGTACGTACGTACGAAGTTCTACGTTGTTACTGACTGACTAACTGAAAATCAAAAATTCGGGCAATTTACTTGAAATACGCAAGGTCCTATGGGTAAACAGGAGGAACCATGGAGTCCAAATTCACTTAAGTATCCCATGTTTCCTCTTATTTTCTATTACATTTTTCTGTCGTTCTCAAAATAGTTGATGACTAGGCTTGTCAATAAACTTATGGGGTATTTTTGATGATTTAAGGATTAGATCACTGAGTAAGTAAGTGAAATATTCGAAGTTTGATTCGATGAATCCTCTACAAAGAGTAAATAAAAAGACAAAGTGGCAGTTCAAAAGAAATGTAGTGTTATTGAGATTACGAACCGAACAAAGTTAGATAATCATTGGAAACTAGGAAACGCTAGGCAGCAGTATCGCTCCACGGTAGTGCGAAACCACAACCCCACCAATATGAACCTAAACTCGGAGCTTCAGTCCGACACGTAAACGCCTGACTCCTGGAACACTGGGGCGGCTGAAGACGAGTTTAAAGAGCTTCCGGGTTTCCATTGATTTCAATAACACTCGAGAATCTTCACAATACTCACAGACAAATGTATTGTGTTGAGAAAGGAATTACTTTTTGTGCAGAATCTTCCGACTGACTTTTATTTCTGAATACAGACAGAAAAATGGGATCGAATTCACAACCCAAATCAACGATCTCGGTCCAATGTTTTTACCTATCTAAATCTCAACTAGATGTGTTATTTGGCCTGTGCAGTTCCTATCACTCCTTAGTTTTTTCATAAAAATTACGCAATACTGTTTTGACTATAAGCTTCTTGTTTATTAGATGCGAGAAAGGCTGTTAGTCACAGGTCATGATTATCACTAATCTCTAGAGACAGGAAAGTTTTTAATTATGTGAGTCCGGAATATAAGAAGTCTGTTGATAAACTTGTTCAGAATATCCGTGTATAGTAATTGGGACAGTACGTCCATGAAAAACAAACAACCCTGAGAACAGACCACTATTTCCGATTCGATTAGACTTACCTTACTAATGAGTAGTGTGAATATTTTCGAAACTGTTTTCATAGGAAATCTGGTCTTCACACTTACGCACTTTCAGGTATGTAGACTAGACAATCTGGTTTTATTCATATGAGTGAAGATTACCCAATGAACTACGATAGGACTATTCCGAGAACAAATATTTTCTTTTTTTAACACTAACTATAAGCTAAATGGTTCCTTAATTATGTGGAATAATAACAGCAGTCATATTTTGCACGTAGTAACAAAAATGTTTTGCAAAAAATTATGAAATTAATCTACAACTTTGATATAATATGTTTACTTATGCCCATAGCCTTTCCCACTCTTCAAGCACTGATACATTTCTAACTAGTTATTTAGACAGATAAGAGAATCTCAATATCACTAAATGCATCCAATACTAGGACTATCTGGCGATGCACAGCTACTAATGGAGATAAAACAGACTTTACAAAAAAGGTCACACAGTCATTGTATGGTAATTACCACGGTACATTTTTCTGCACCTAGTCAAAATATTTACACCAGTGTACTATCTATTCAGAGGCCGTGTCCTGAAAAAAAAATAAATTATATGAAATAACGGACAACCATGAGATAAGTCCTTCGATAAAAGTTTCATCAGATAAAAGGTACATCTACACGCCGATGGATTATGTTTGATCTTAGCTGACGTAACGACTAACGTTGATTGTTTAATGAACGATGAACCTCGGAATTTCAGAGATAACTTCTCACCATGAGTCGATACCCGTGAAAAACATTGAGAAAGAGATAACGAACGTT